TATGTCTACTAATTTCTATAACCCTCTTCCCCCACCCCCCCCCCCCCCCCCCTTGGTCACTGAAATGGCCATCATGGGCTATAGACTAGTAAAAAAAAGATTTTTTTCACTGCGCTATTTCCGAGATATACAAATTATAAAATCGATGATTTTCAAAAAAAGTAAAAAATGGAATTTGTTTTGGTAAAATTCGATTTCTATCTCTAGGCAATATATATCTCGGCGACGTGTTGTGTGATTTACATCAAAGAAAGTGTCCACTAGTAGATTATATAACTTTCAAAAATTTGAAAAGAATTAGGTAGGCAAGATGTGGTAAAGCATCGAATGGTCACTGGATGATTTACAGAAAATCAATTCTTAGCTTTTGGTCGTCTACAACCCGAAAATAAATTTTTTTTTATAATACGTAAAATTATAGAGTGAACAATTCTCTACAACGTTTTTTGGCCGATCTCCGTCGGTACTACAGAAAGTTCACGAAATTTTTTCTAAATCGATCGCCCTACTCCCCCTCAACAAACTACTCTAAAACTGAAGTGTGCGTTTGATCGATCTGACCGTATTTTTAGAATATTGAAGGCATCAATACTCTATTTCAATGTCTGTTTCATCAGTAGCTCTTCTGAACCGCTATGAGGGGTAAAGGGTTAACTCATGGGATTTCTATTTTTGGTCTCATGAAAAAATTTAAGATGTTTTTCATTCTTCAATAGAAATATCTTCGTTACTGACTTCTTTAGGTTATTTTTCATAAAATAGCCTTGAATCTTTTTTTTCAGAAGTTTAAACAATGAAACATGAAACTATGTTTTGAAGTTCTATGTGTTTCACACTAACTTTTATTTTTTAATACACTTCTCCACAACTATTAATAATGCACGCAAAAAGATCTAATTATAAAGAGTCTTCCATTCAAATAATTTCTACCGCAGTCTTATACCAATTTTGATTTAAAGCATAGAATTTAGACACAATGAATTCTGGTAGATTCTCCTGAATTCTAAGTATTACAGATTTCAAAAGAGTTCACAAAGATCTAAGGATTTCCACTAGTCTACACGATTGTATAAAAAAGTCTATAATCATTTTCGAAAATCTGAGAAATGTAACAAAACTCAGAAGAAATTAATAATTGGTAATAAAAGATACACAAAAGAGAAAAAATAGAGTCTAGATTCTGGCAGAGCTCAGTAAACTCATGAAGAAAGAGTTCTAATATCTATGCCATTTTTGTTGATATTTTGCTCATAGTTAGGACTTATTGCACCTAGCA